GCCCTGTAGCAAATTAAAAAATAATAATAATGATAAATCAAATTAAATAAATCGGTTTTTGACAACAAGAAAAAAGAATTCTACCCTTCCGATTTCCAACTCTTAAAGGATGCTCAAAGTAAAGATATGGACAAAGAATACTGAAAGATATGGTCATATTTACCTACTACTTTCTCTTCCCACCTTCCTAAAAGTCTTTTTATAAGTTTTCAAAAATATATGCAGGTAGGGAACCAGCAGTTAGCGTAATGGCTATGTCGCTGGACTCCCACGTAGTTGACCGCGGTTCGTATCCCGGACCCGGTGGCTTAAAACTCACGCCCGGCGTGTGTGTGTGCGTGCCCAAGATCCCGAGAGGAGAATGGAGGAGAAGGGATTGCGGCGTGACCATCTCCCCTGGGGGGTGATTTCTCGCTTTCTGTCTCTATGTCTCTCTCTGTCTGGCGAGCGCATGCGCACTATAGCAAAAACCTCTCAAAAAAAGAAAAAAAGAAAAGAAATCACACCCCCTGGGGGGTGTGGCCATGCTGCAATCCCTTCTCCATTCTCCTCTTGGAATTTTAGACACACATGCCCTGCGTGATTTTCAAGCCACCAGGTCCAAGACTCGAACCACAATTAGCCATGTGAGAGTCCAGCAACTTAACCACCACACCACTTTCTGGCCCCCATATTAACAACTTTTTTAAAGGTGAAAGGAAAACATAACAAATGGGTGAGCGCACTATTCTGAGCACAAGTCAAAGATTAAGGATTTCAAATCACAACAATGTGATTTTTATCAAAAACTCTCCTAATTTCACTTTGAGGCTATATAAATACCTTTTCATAATGAGATCTCTTCCTCTTCCTCTTACAAATTAAAAAACAATTATGTTGTAATAGAGAAATACAATACAGCACAGTGATAAAGTGTTCAGGACACTTCCCATGTCTTTTATCCATTAAATATATAAGAACTATAAAAATTTATTTGGTAAAGAATTTAGAAAAACGATTTATCTATGTTTTTATTCATTCATTTCTTCCATGAGTGAGAGGGAGAGAGAAACAGTGTCCCCAACAGAGTACTGACACCACAACCCACCTCCAGCCCTCCTCAAGCCCTGGATCATGGGCAAGTACATGTCCGGTGTACTCAGGAAGGTTCCTGGACATGAACCAAGAACCCTCCCATGTGGGATTGCCTCACAGACCATCATGTCTTACCATGACACCACTGTCCAGCCCATTTTGCGCATACTTCTTTACTCTTTATATAGGTAGGCTGAAAATAGTCCAAGATTTTTTCCTGCTTCTCCTTTACTTATAAATTTAATCTTTAAATCATTTCTTTCCTCTCACATCTCACTGTATACGATTAAAAGCAGTCCCATAGGCACAGTGGTATTGCATTGCTCAAGAGAAGTTGAATCCCACATAGCGACCATAGTTCAAATCCCTAGCCCATCAGCCTGAAACACACTGGACATTCACGCATTTACCCAAGATCTGACAAGCTGGAGGACTGGAGAAAGACAGTGACAACAGGGCCAGACCCTGTCTGAGGAAGGTGCTCCTCTCTCACACACATTCTCTCATGAGCACAAGCTCAATCCTGAATAATGAGGAAAAAAGTAGCTACACAGCAGATTAAACACTTTGCTGCCTTGTTACTTATTCCACTAGATATCTTAAATCCTTTGCTTTTAAATTCTGCATTCCATAAAGCTCAAGGGCAAGGACACAGCTTAGCCAAGATGTTTGCTACATTATAACAAGAATGATGTTTACTCCAAAGTGCAGTACTTCGTTCCTCCTTTCCATCGGAGATTTTACTGCTCTTTCTGCCATTTCTCTGTGCCGCCATAATGGTGCGCATGAATGTGCTGGTTGATGCCCTCGAGAGCATCAACAATGCTGAAAAGAGAGGCAAACGCCAAGTTCTTATCAGGTGCTCCAAAGTCGTCGTCCGGTTTCTAACTGTGATGATGAAACATGGTTATATTGGCGCATTTGAAATCATTGATGACCACAGAGCTGGAAAAATTGCTGTGAACCTCACTGGCAGATTAAATAAGTGTGAAGTGATCAACACCAGATTTGGTGTGCAACTCAAAGATCTAGAGAAATGGCAGAATAATCTGATCCCAACACATCAGTTTGGTTTCATTGTACTGACAACCTCAGCTGGCATCATGCACCATGAAGAAGCAAGACGGAAACATACAGGAGGGAAAATCCTGGGATTCTTTTTCTAGGGCTGTAATACACATATACAAATAAAACGCCTCATTGGACTCTGAAAAAAAAAAGAATAGATTTTACTGTCCATATTTTTTTGGAGAGTTTGTTTTGCTATAGGGCACATGCACTTGCTGGAGAGATAGTGAAAGACAGAGAAACAGAAAGTGAGAAATCGCACACACACACACACACACACACACAGGGATGGCCATGCCACAATCCCTTCTCTCCCACTCTCCTCTTGGGATTTTGGCCACACACACACACACACACCCCTGGTGTAAATTTCAAGCCGCTGGGTTGAGGACTCAAACCATGATCAGCCAAATGGGAGTCCAGTGACATAAATATTATGCCATCTGCTGGTCCCATACTGTCCATTGTTCTACCAACATTGTCATGACCACTTAAGTAATCACTGAGAAGGTTCAAGCTTTCTCTACAACTCTCCTCTTCTGAGTACTCAGCAGCCATGGTTTTGGGCATCGGGGAATGATTTCTTGGAAGATAATATTTCTACAGACCACTACCAGTCCATGGTCCAGGGGTTGTGGAACCCTGCTCAGTGGAATTACCTGCAATGCTCTGTTCATGGCAGCACAGTCACTACCTCTTTAATGACCATTCAGACTTACGCCTAATTCTCCAGTGTGAGAATCTCCTTTCCCAGTCTTTGTCTCATTCTCACAGTTTTCACTACACAAAGTGTTTACAATCATGCAAGGATAATATTTTATTTATCAGTTTATACTTTATTGTGCTCCATAGCAGTATTCAGAATAAATAAAAACAATTATGTTGGATTTACATTATTGTGTTGTGGTGTGTCTTATTGCTTCCTAAGGTATGTTTTTTGTATGGATAGAATTACATTATTCTAGTCTCTCATGATATCTATTGAAAAATACATCCCTATGGTGCCATGACATACCACGAGACCTTCATCTTTAAGCTTCCTGTTTATCGACCAATTCACTTAACAACATCACAGGAATGGAACTTGGTCATTAAGTGAGAAGTGCCTATATAGATCTTCTAGCATTCACTTCAAAATGTTCTAGCCTCGGGACCAGCAGTTAATGTAATGGCTATGTCGCTGGACTCCTATGTAGTCGACCACGATTCGAGTCCCGGACCTGGTGACTTAAACTCACACCAGGTGCGTGTACGTGCGTGTCGAAGATTCCAAGAGGAGAAGGGATTGCAGTGTGACCATCCCCCTTGGGGAGGTGATTTCTCGCTTTCTGTCTCTCTGTCTCTCTCTGTCTTCCTGGCGAGCACACGTGCCCTATAGGAAAAACCTCTCCAAAACAAAAGTTTAAAAAAAGGTTCTAGCCTCTTCTCACTACTTAGTTCCAAAGTTGCTTCCATATTTTCCAGTATCTGTTATAGCAACAACACTGCTTCTTGGTATGAATGTTCTTAGTCCATTTTCTTCTGCTACAGCAGAATACCACAGACTGGGTAATTATAAACAATAGAAGTTTCCTTAGCTAATGATTCTGGAGGCTGGGAAGCCCAAGATCATGGCTGGAATCTGGCAATGGTTATCACATGGCAGAATGTCAGAAGATGGAAGCAAACACATGAAACAGAGAGAAAATGGAATGGAACTTATCCTTTCTTCAGGAGCCTACTCCTGCAATAGCTAACCAGCTCTCATGCCATTAATTCATTTATGCCAAAGGCCTCATGATTAATCATTTTTTAAGGTCTTGCCTGCCAATTCCATTACATGGGCAGTAGAATTTCAACATGAGTTTTGGCACAGACATTCAAATCATAGCATAACTTGTATGCAAGGTCACATAAGAAAACAAGAAGTCATTGGAGAACAATGAGCAGAAAACATTTAAGACCTAAACTTATGTGAAGCATTAAACCAGGGAAGTGTTTAGAACCTACACAGACAAGATCATTTCAGGTCCTTGAAGAGATCTTAAACTCAAAAGAAATTAGTTAAAACAAGAGGCATAGCTGAAAACAAGAAGTAAAACATGGCAAGTAATAAACATTAGTTGTTATTGTTTCTATTGAGATTAAAAAATGGGAGGGAGCAGAAGGTGGTGTGGTATAAGGGTTAAGGACTCCCACAGGGCTGACTGCAGTTCGAGTCCCAGACCCGGTGACTTGCTTTCTCTCTTTACCTCTCTCTCTCTGTTTCTTGCTCTGTTCCTCTCTGATCAAATTAAAATAAATAAGTAAAGTTAAAGAAAATAATTCTTTAAAATAAAATAGAGGAGAGATGGGTGATTGTCCTGGAAGGCTTCATTTTCTCTTAAAGGAATAGGTTATGTTGTAAATAGTTTAAAAATTAGCAATTATTAGATCTATAACATCAAAATCTGAAATTATTCAAATAATGTGTAGGAAAGAAAACAGAGCAAATACAGATTATAAAACCTGATGAAGGGTCAGATCTATTTAGCTAATTACATTATTCTACTTAATTTCAAATAATTTAGCTGACAATGTGAAAAGATGAGAAATCTTCTGAGCACTTAAAATAGAATTAGGCTGCCTGAACAGGTTCCATTTTTTAAAAAGCAATGTAGCAAGAATAAAAAGGTCATTTTTTTTTCAACACAAATAGCTTCCAATATAAAAATAACACATGAATCCAAATCATAAAACAGATATCCTTGTGATATACTTTGTAACTTCCAAAATGATTTGTTAATTACTTAAAAACACGTCCACAAGTATTGGTCCATGTCTTATTCTGTTTTCAGCAGCTATAATGAAATACCACAAACTGGGTAATTTATAATGAATGGAAATTTATTTGGCTCATGGTTCTAGAGGCTGAGAAGTGCAAAACAAAGGGTCCGCAACAACTGAGGCCCTTTGTGGTACATTATCCTATGGCAAATGGTGAAAGCCCAACAAATGTGCAAAACAAAGGAAAAGGAGGCTGAACTCCCTTCATAACTATCCTACTCCCATGATAACAGCTTTAACCCATTCATGAAGCTGGGGCCCTGGTGGCCTCATCTCCTCTTGAAGGCCCACATCTAAATGTCATGATGACAATTAGGTCAAAACATAGCAGTCCAAGGAGCCAGCAGGTGGTGTGGTGGTTAAGGAACTGGATTCTCACAGGGCCAACAGCAGTTCAAGTCCCATATCTGGTGACTTGCTTCCTCACTCTCCCCCTCCCCACCTCTCTCTCTCTCTCTCTCTCTCTCTCTCTCTCTCCATGCATGCCCTGTGGCAAACTTGAAAAGATATTGATGATGATAAATAAAATGAAATAAATAATTCTTTTTAAAAATAATAGCAGTTCACGTTTAGGAAGAAATCAGATCTGAAGAGAATGGTGAAAATAAAGGAGTATTTTAAATACAGATACATTAAGTATTCAGAGCCTTGTAAATCCTGGAGATCAGCACAGCAACGGGAGGAAAGCAGACATTTATGAAGTAAAGGCTGTCTTCTGAGAGGATGGAGAGAAGCATGCGATAACCTCCCACATTCAATTGCAACTACACTGTTCAGCTACAGCCAGGCTGACAAAGCGCTCCGCAAGTCCTGTTCCTTGTTCTGTTAACCTCGCACCGAGAGGTTAACTAGAGGGATAGATTCGGATTAGTTGCTACATGATACTGAAGATGTAGTAATACTACCTCCAGTTGACTGGAACTAAACTCTGGTGGGAACTCAAGCAACATATTGGGTTGTCGGAAAAGTCATGACGTATTTTTCTGGGTTTTTTTTTTTTCCCCCTGTGCAAAAGTGGGTCATGACTTTTCTGACAACCCAGTATTTAACTATACAGACTTTGAGAACTGCTAATTGGGAGTGTAAAGAGATACAGCAGGACTGAGAACTGTTTATAAACTTATCCTTTTCTGAGTCCTTCAAATGATACCTAAAAATGTCCTGCTTCTTGGAATGGCAAAATAGGTCATGTTTAAACCAACTCTCCTGTAAAGAACTAGAAAAGCTAGATGAAAACAGAATTTAATCTGTTGAAAGGTTTAGAGACCTCTCTAGACTGAGGATTATAAAATAAAATCCAGGAGATTTCTTCCTGTGATTTCAGTGAGATGAATAAAGCATTTGGGGCTGATTTCTCAAATTTTTTTACTTCAAAAGCAGCATCTGATCGGCCGAGGAGCTGAACAAATACTCCCTGGGACTCTCTCAGAACCCCAGAATTGATATAAAGAGTATTTTAAACTTAAGACTTCCGAATTTCAACAGAAGCAGAAAGAAGCTGCCTTGGAGATTTTTTTTTTTTCATCTGACAAAGAGCAGAGGTTTTTGAGAAATTAGAACTGCCACAAATCCCCTTTCAGGAAGTCTATTCCCAGGAGAGAGACCAATGGTAAACCTGTCATAAAGTCTCCTCTCCAGGGAGTTTCATGGCCATGAAAGTGGCAGAAGGACTACTAACACCTGAATAAATAAATATCACAGGTTTTCATATCTCCCATTTGTTCTCCTAAACACCCATTTGTTTTTCTTTCTTTTCTTTTTTTAAGAGAGGTTGCTGCTATAGGGTGCGTGCACTTGCTAAAGAGACAGAGAGACAGAAAGCGAGAAATCACCCCCCAGGGGGGATGACCATGCCATAATCCCCTCTCCTCCATTCTCCTCTCAGGACCATGGACATGCACAAACACACATCTGGGTGAGTTTCAAGCCACCAGATCTGGGACTCGAACCATGGTCGATTATGTGGGAGTCCGGTGATGTAACCATTACACCATCTGCTGGTCCCATCACATTTGTCTTTCTTAAATAAACCTATTTATTCTTCTCATATGAGCCCTTTCTCCCTATTTCCTTTACCCTACTAAATTAAATATATAAGCCCCCAATTTTTTTTAGAGAGATTTTTGCTATAAGGCACGTGTGCTCACTGAAGAAACAGAGAGAGACAGAGAGACAGAAAGCAAGAAAACATCCCACAGCAGAGAGGCCATGCCACAATCCCTTCTATTCCATTCTCCTCTCGGGATTTTGGGCACACACACACACCCCCAGCATGAGTTTTAAGCCACCAGGTCTGGGACTCGAACCACAGTCAACTATGTGGGATTCCAGA